GGGAGGTTGGGATACAGAACATATAGAAAAGACGGAACTATTAAAACGGAAAATAACAAATAAATGGAATGACAAATTTTTTGTTTCCCCGTACACTTTTGAAATTTTTTTGTGTTAGTTTCTCTTTTTTCTTATGCGGCACGAGATTTCGACAGGCAAACCGTACAACGTTCGCGCCACTGACTTCTATTCTGGGCCGTATCTGTCAGCATCTCTATCCAACGACAATTCTCATCCTTTGGGCTCCAACCTGGAAGGCGGGCTGCACCAACCGAAGTGAGAGCTGAAGCCAGCTTCTTCATACCTCTACACCATGTCATGGTCTGACCGGTGCGGCGCTTCTTCCAGCCTTGCCCGGCACGTGCCAAGAGAGCACAGAAAGGTAGTCGATAGGCAGGCATACGCGGTACGTGACTAAGGTAACGGAGGCCATATAGAGCTATTACTTCTGTTAAAGAGTTGCTGTCCCCATCCAACACACGACGACGAACCTCGTCATTGCTCACGAGATGTTCCCACCAGACATGAGCAATGCTTCGGAGACATCGGTGGTCGAATACGGAAAGTCGATTAGCATCCTCAATGCGGAGAGACCAGGTCTCGCAACCGTAAAGCAAGGCGCTGCGAACTGCGGCGATGTACACTCTTCCCTTAAGGGATAGTCAGATGCCATGGCGGCGCCACAGGTGTCTCAGGTTGGCGAAAGCTGCTCTGGCGCTTGCTGTTCGTGATGTGATCTCCTCTCCAACACCAACACCAGCAGCGATCAAGCTCCTGNCTCGTCATTGCTCACGAGATGTTCCCACCAGACATGAGCAATGCTTCGGAGACATCGGTGGTCGAATACGGAAAGTCGATTAGCATCCTCAATGCGGAGGAGCCAGATCTTAAAAATTACGAGTATCGTATTCCTCAGACTAATTCCTGTTTGCTACTTCTGTGGTTAAACGACCAATTTCTGTTCTGTTCTATCGTGGCAGTCGAGGTTGAGTTTTTATTGCTTGACCTTGCCTGATGGCATGCAGCCGGCTCGGGAACGAGAGCGTCTGAGCGGGTGAAAATGCTTCGTTTTATTCATGTGTTTATAAGAATAGGGGCGGAGGGGTGTTTTCGGAATAGATTTACCGTTCCTATAGTAGTAGCAGTGTTTCAAATTATTTCGGTACATCTATACATTTGGTTTTTTCTATTCTCGTTTTATTATTTCTTATGTATATGAACACAGTCACGTCGAATATAGTTAGTGCTGCAACGAACGTGTGCACAATGATTTCAGATGGATTGTGCGGACCACCGTTCATAGGGTTTTGATTAAAAAATAAATATAAAGCGAAAGAATTACTTCTATTTTCTTATCGTTTAAAAAAAATTTACTTCCCTGATCAGGTGGGGCTTGCTATTGTTCCGAATCTGACCTGATTCCCGCAGTCGCATCTGATCCTGACGCGGATTCCCACGCAAGTGGTGATGTGTCATTAATCACCGGGAAATTGCGTGCATTGCCCAGGATGAATCCGGAGGTGATCAGTTCGGCGGATCAAGGCAAGGCAAACTGTCTGGTAACCCGCACCGACTGGTCACTCATCCAGTCCGAAATGTTGTCGTCGCGGTCTAGTCGGACGTGGTACGGATTGGATCCGACTTTGGGTCAGCACGAGGTATCACACCTGAAAACCGGACGTTCCGGTGTACCTACACAGTATGATTCGGAACAGGCTCCCGAATGAAGTACTCCTGTGTACGCAAAATGCACACACCGGTGGAAAATTATTGTACAATGAGTTTCATTTTTGATGTGACTTGTTTCAACCCTTGAACTCGGAACTCTCGTCGGCAATGCTTTTACGATGCCAAACGCTTGTCTCATCACTTGTACTTTCGTTTTTCTGAAGAGGATCCTATTTGATCATCTAATGGTTAACTATCTCAATAATTGAGGCACCAGTGCGTTGTCTACGCCGCATCACACCAATCTGATGGTGTAAGCTTGAGGCTAGGTACAGAGTTCTGGGTAATCTCGGTCGCCCACTGAAGCAAGTGGTCAACCTCCATGGATTCCGCTTATCGGGACCTGTGTTGCGCGTGTCACCAAATAGGTTTCCACGGCTAGGGTGGTCAAACTAAGGCCTGGCATGAGGGTTTAAAAACCCTGACCAAGAGACTCGATCAGGTAAGTCGCGTTAGGCTTCTCGGATGTGGACCTCGGGATCGGTGTAACCGATGGCTTGATAGACTAAGTAATGTGGTTGACTGTCGCAAACAGCTAGGCTTGTACATTTTCTCAACGTCCTTGCAACTTTAATCGGCATGAATTCTCTATTTTCATTCTGACACTTGCTCATCTTCATCTAAATAGGCAGCATAAAGACAGGAACCGAAACCAACACTAAACTGAATGCAGTGCATCGTTTTGCGGCGCACACTGTTTTATATCCGTGTCGTTTGTTGCATCTATTGTTGTCCTTAACAAAGCTGCTTTCCCATGGGTGTCCAGCAGGCAACGAACTCAACAATTATGTACTGCCCCTCGTCAATCGTCATGTTTCGACCCTCGAAACGGCCTTGTGTAGTGTGCAGGACCGACGACCGCAGCTCTGAATCCACTGGAAACACTGGCAGGAGGTTGATTCCGGGCAGTCCGAGTTGTTATCGAACTAGCGTCATGCCAAAAGGCCGCACAATCTCCGGCCACTCGCCGACGTTCTCAATACACAGCTAGGACACACTTTTCACAGTAGGCCTTCCAAGAAACTTGCAAGACAGGGAAAATACAAAAAACAACCCTGAACCAAAAGGTCCAATGAGACATGCACACTTAATTCAACGCGCCTGTACCTTTACTACACTAGTCACATTCATTTACCGCGCTCTGCTCAAGGTACGAAAATACGTCAAGTAAAACAGTCTATTCAACTGTCCGATTGATAACGAGCCTGTTTACTTGCTGTAAGGTCCCAGTTCACTTTCTCAACAAGGAAGATGAATTTGGGTACTCAATCCAGTGTACAGTGCTCTCCAATTTCTCAATTTGTCCTTCATTCTACAAAGAACGAGTTTCAACCTACAGCGTAATTCCTATTAGCAAGCTAACTGAAATAATCCACGAAATTGTCAACGGAATGCATGGATGTCATGAATCAAAGTAAAACCAGTCTCGTATCCCGAAGTATTGTCAACTGAATCGCTTTCATGATCTATTCGATGCCACCGCGGGACGCTATGATGTGCAAATCAGCTTCTGTGTTACTTATGGTGTTTTCCTGTACTTAGTGCTTATATGAGTTAAATTTCAGTGACCGAAAAATCCAACCCGTCACTTGTTCATGTGTAAATAAAGGATTAAATTTCCATTCGATGAGCATTACATCGTTTGCATTTTTATGTCTAGACCATACTCGTCCAGTTCGATGCAACTGGTAGATACCACCGTCTACCCACTGCGTTTCAAATTATGCGTAGACAGATTTTTGTAATCTTCCAACGGTTCCGTGATTTTTGCCCCTCAGAACTTCCCAGTCCCCTTAGTGCACCCTAGAATGGAATTTCTCGGTTTACGTGAATAAATGGAACGTGAACCCATCTGACTGGAAACGAGCTGTATGAATAAGGTGTGGTTGCTAGTACTAAAGACTTAGGCCTATAAGTCTGCGAAATAATGTGACATGCAGGGCGATCTGTGCTTTGAAAGAATCAATATCGGAACGAATCGTTGACTCCCCCTCCGGGATTCTTGCAACTGCTGCTGCACGAACGCAAGGTTCTAAGAAAATTACAGTACTCTGGGGTAATAAAAATGCGACCGAGGAATTTTATTGCATATTCGGCAGTTTAAGGTCTGTCATTTGATTATAATATCACAAATCCTGAAATCACGTTTAGACAATGGTTCTGGTGCACTGACCAGTCTTCACTAGTTTCAACTTTCATGACTGATCTTTGTACAGCAAGATACAGTGAAGCGAAATTCACTGGTCGCTGCCAAGCTCACAATGTACACAAATCCAGTGATAAAGTGCAATTTGGAGAGGGATTGGACATAATTGCGGAGAGGCAAAGAAAGTGAATCTCTGTAACCAATACAGAGTACACAACCTAAGTGTGCATATATACGTCTTCAAGCATTCTGACCTGATAAGAAATGACAACAGGAACACCACTGCTGTCAGTTAGTTGCCATATCCTTCAGTGTCTCAAACCTACCATTTGCAGTCTTTCGGACCCCAACCTAATCGCTCTGTGTATTCCTTCGTACCTCGTTTCCACGTCATCTGTTGACATCCACGCGGTTTCTTCCAATTTTGGGCCTCGACAGCGAATAAGGCGCGGTGCGGTGTACGATAGCTGAACATGCGCAAAACGTGTCCCAACCAGCGAAGCCGACTAATCGATGGGACAACGAATTCTCCATCGAATCTTTACCCAATTCGCGATGCCTTACCTCAGAGTTACACTCTCGCTCCATCCAACCCGCGCCAAACTACGCAAACATCGACAGTCGAAGACTTCTAGTCGACGAATATCCTCCACACTCAAGTTTAGTGCCTCGAAACTGTAAAGCAAAACTGACCGCACGCCGGCGCACTATACACAACCTTTCAGCTTCAACGAAACGTCATGTCTGCACCAAAAGTGTTTCAGTCCTGCGTAAGCTGCTTGAGTCTTGGAAATGCAGGCGGTCTCTTCATTGACTACGGCACCGTCATTCGTCACTCAGTTACCTAAGTAGGAGAAACATTCCACTACAACTAATTCTGAACCATCAAGCAAAAGCATCCCGGTAGACGACATCCAATCTGGTAGCATCACTTTGCACTTTGAAGGTGCAAAGTGCATACCGAATGAAGTTACAGAACTTGCAAGTCTGTCATGAGCGCTTTGCATATCCTCCATACATTAAGGCAGGCATACGAGATCATCGGCGTACTCTAAATCGCACAGCTTTTCTTCAGCTCTCCATTCAATACTTACGTTTTGAAGACCACTTAGTGCGTTCTTCAGTACTTCGTCAACGACGAAATTAAACAGGAATAGCGAAATAGGGCACCCTTGACGAGCACTTCCGGTTTCAAACGATTCACTTAAGAGTTGGTTGCATATGTGGGAATGATGAATAAGCAGCTTTGATGTTGCTACCCTTCTTACAACTAACTGAACCCTGGAGCCTCATGGCGCACAAACGACCATTGACGGGTATCCAATGTATCAGTGAAACTTCAGCTTTATAGTTTAGTACGATGCATACACCATGCTG